CGAACCCGGAACCTCAATGGTGAAAGGGAAGCGACTTCGCCATTGAGTCACGCGAGCAAATTATCAAATTATACTATATTAAATACAATTCTAGCTGAACTCATTTCTAAAACTAATATTATTATTCAAAATTATTCACTAAGTAACTCACAACCCAGAAGATTTATATTAGTTGAGCAGCTTACTGAGATGATAAACTAGATGTAGGTAAGGATATATGTTTTTAATATCCCTTTTGTGAAATGTGATTCCTCAGAAACAACACTTCGCCTAACTCATTCTAACATTTTTTCTGCTTACAGAAACAAATACAGGCCATCTCTTTCTTTTAAAAGTATTCCTTATCTTCAACAGAAAAACGGCATACCTCTCGGAGTCGCCTACGCTGTTAAATAGGGTAACCAAATGCATTCGCGCATTATACCCTGAAATCGAAGGTACAACCCAAGGATCGAATCGGGATGCTATCCAATATCGGGTTTGTAATCCGTGAATCGAACCGATTCGGCTCCGCGAAAAAGGATTTTTGCTTTGATTAGCAAATAATCTGAACTCAACGATAATCCGCGTATTACACGCTATTGGAAATAGGGCGATCGATCGTGATCGCGAATGGGATCGAACATCGGAATCTTTAAAACTCATGAAAAGTACCCACTCCAAGAAAAGAAACATACACACGAATTGAACAGTCACGTGGGAAAACAGTTAAGGAATTCCATGGTTGGTTTCTAAAAAAAACTAGTGGTGCTGCCAAAACAAATACTTTCTCGTTTTGCTTGTAAAAGCTCCGTAACATTACACTACTAAATTACCAGCAGAAGTGTTGTCTGCAGCAGCTAATTTTTCTCCGCACCGCGACTCGAGCTCAGATACTCAGAGTTAAGGTGCCGGCACTCATACTACTACACCACAGAAGAGCCGCATGGTTCAAACTCCGACAAAGGTATAAAAAGGTAAATGCCCGATTTATGTAAAAAAAAACTTCAACAATCAAAATATCCGGTAGAAACTCAAAAAGCCTCCAGTCCTTTAAGATCAATCAGGGTGTATAAATTTTGAAGAAAATCAGCTGAACGGTTTAGGCGCTAGTGTTAACTACAGACGGACACGCAGACAAACGAACAGAGGGACATTTTGCCGTCAATCTATTTTTCGGTATGAAAACCAACAAAACATGGATTCTGGCTACACCACGAGTTACATACTTTGTTTCTAAATTTAGTAAGCGGATTTGTCCTCTTTTTCATTACCAGAACCCGACAATGAGGTTAATTCTGGCGAAATTTTAGCGTTTTCCACAACTCGATTACATAACCTTCTCATCTTATGAAGAATTCGTAAGGCAAGAAAGTAATAATTTCTGAACAATTAGGGATATCGAAGTTGGTTACATGGCTAGTGTTCACAAAGTATTTAAATTTCACCTCGATAGATTCATTAGTCTACTAAAATCGTTTTACACATGTATGCTGAACAATCGCAGTGCTTAGAAACTCAACAACTGATCTGACGTAACATACGTTTTACAAATCGCAAAAGAAGGTTGAAAAAATGTTTAAAAGTTACAAATTGCAAACGCACGTACAGGTCAGGTTTATTTGTATATATAATGATTGCATTTGTGGGTAGAAATGCTTCAAGTGATTTTCAATATAGTTTCTCGAATCTCTAATAGTTTTCTACAACACTTTCATCAAATTAAAATTCCAGTGTGGGACTAGAATCGGCGACTTCTTGGTTTCAAGTGATGAACCCGAATATGCCACTTAACAAACTCGGACAACCAGGAGGACAAGGTTATACACTACCATATTACTTAAGACACCACTGTTTCAGTTCTTGCATTACGGAGCTGAGAAAATGTGAAAAAACAAGGAGGTTAAAAGTTGCAAATTCGAAAATCACATACACACTTCAAATTTATTTATCTTAATTTATTGTATTTGTTAGTAGAAGTACTTCAATTAATTTTCAATTACGTTCCTACTATTTTCAACAGTTTTATTCGGCAACACAGGATTGACAAATAATTATCCCTGAGCGAAGCTCGAACAAGGCGACCTTGCCTCCAAAGGACTGCGACAATACACATCATTTAACCAACCTCGGCCACCGGGGTCGTATAAGGAACAGTCACTATTATAATAGTCATAAGAGCTTCGTGATTCAGTTGCAGTATTAGGTAGTGGAAAAATTAACAAAATGTAAAATAAATGTCCATTGGGCAAAAAAAGATTGCAACTCGGCTGGCATAACGAGGCGGTAAATACTTTTTGCTGGTTAAAAGCAAAAGAGAATTGTAACAAAATTCCTGAAACCTCCAGCCTTGGAACAGCGGCCCTTCTCCACGAACGCTGAGACCGAACTCGACATTTAACCACTTTAGCCACCCGGGTTACACAGAATTGGCACTTCTATAATAGTCAAAAGCGCCGGAAGGAGACATTTAATTTCATGGTTCAAACGTTCTACAAATCCAATAAAAGATGTGAAAAATTGTTTAGAAGTTAAAAATTTGGAAATCACATACAGTCACTTCCAGTTTATTTATCTTAATACTATTTGCTATATCAGAATTGCTTCAAATCGTTTTCAATAAAGTTTGTGGAATCCTCAATTATTTCCTGCGGCAACACAGAATTGTCGAAATAACAATTCCCTGACAAGACTCGAACCAGCTAAACTTCTCTTCGAAGAGCTGGGCCCGAACCCTCCAATTTAGCCACCTTGGGTGTCCTGTTAGGACATGAGATGAATACTTCTACAATAGTAATAAGTGTTATGGGGGGTTTTGTTCTAGCATTACGGAACCGAGTAATTGAGAAAATGCGCTCGCCCGCCCGCCCGCCCGCCCGCCCATGGCTAGAAATGCATCCTCAGATCATTTGACCTAGCGGATGCATCACAGTTTACGTAATGCATGAAGACAACAATTCTTCACCCCTTCTGCGGCGAACAAGCAGTTTTCCCTCGGAGCCATGTAAATCAAATTTGGAGTCATCAGAAAATATAACTTTATTCCACATCTCTAAGGACATAGAGTTTTTGCACATAACTTGTGCAAAAGTAACGTAACGTGTTATTTCACATGTGCTTTTGCACTGTAGTCTCTTTTGTCGCATTGATTTCGTTACTGAAGACTTTTTTCTGGGCGACGGTCAGGAAGCCCTGCTTCAATGAATCTACTCCAAACAGTTCTACTAGTCACAGAAACATCTTACATTTCATCCCATTTACTTCTCATATCTGTAGATGAGAATCAACGATTGCTAAGACAGATTCATTCTATCTGGGTTAGGAGTAGAAGACTTTTCCTTCTTCTCCCTTGCTTACAAGTAAAGATAGAAAAACCGAAAATTAAATAGCAATTCATAGTTTTCATTGCCTTTAAAAGAAAAAAGGAAAATAATGAATGTTGATGCAATACTTTTTTCCACCACAGTATATATGACATGACATAGACACTGTTGTAAGCTCCGGAAAAAAAAGTCTCATCCAAATGCTCATCCAAAATCTCCAAATGCTATCAGTGTTCTTTATGGTCTATTAACTTCCAAATTCTTGTTAGGTCTCCACAAATATGTTCAATGCAGCCCAACTGTGAATAAAGAAATCAGGCACAGCAGTGTGACTCAATTGGGGTTCGTTAACACTGATGGCAAGCGATGCAATTTTAGGCAAATGAAGTGACATAGTTCAATTGTTCAACTCACGGTTCTTAAAGTAGAGATTTCAAGCTTTTTTCTTATTTAAATTAAAAGTATTTTTGATAGATATTTACGGAGCTGCAGCTATTTGAATAATGTATATTTCTGTGGTTTTAACAGAAAATTGGACATATTCGGACTAATATAGCATACTGAGTGAAATAAGTAACGTTTCTTAGTCATAAAATTGTTGTCGGATAACATGGTCACACACCTCAGCGAAAAATCTGACGATAGTTAAACCTACTAATATAATGATTTATTTTAAATCTCTCACTACTTTTTTATGTAACTGTTTCTGAGAATAGATGAGCCTTGAAACTAGGTTTTTAAATTTTTTAAATTTGATCTTGCAGAGCAAATACAAATTGCAAACATAAAAGCATCTGCCAACAGAGGTGCCAGGATGAGCTAGTACAAAGGATTTTTTATTGCTTTTATATGTTTCACATTCACAATATGAGGAATGATTATCTGACCTTGTTGGTTCTGAATGTTCTATTACATTTTTTGACATTGTAGCATGGGTTGTGACAAACATTAAAGTTGAGTTCCAGGATGAAGGTATTTTCACTTTTTAAACAAATATTTTAATAGCATGATATTTTAGAAATTAATTTTCGGTCATCTTTTAGATTCTTCCATCACTCACTGTTCAGGAGATTCCAATCTTTGAATACGATACTAAAGCTATTCATAATTTTCCAGTTCATTCACAATTGGAGTCACTGCAGTAATCAGTAGGATTCAGAATAGAAATTTGTAAAATTAATTTAAAAAAATAAAAAAAAAAAAGTCCTGTTTAATATATGGAGGAAAATGTCAGTGAACATTTTGCAGATCACAGGGAGAATGAGGGAAAACCTACAGGAAACATGTGAGGGAACATGCAAGAAATATGCCGGAAACCGGTGTTGACCATGCAGAACATGTGGGGGAAACAAGGAATTCAAGACATGCTTCTTAAGCTGTATTCTACTAAAGGAGACCGTTTTAAACCTCATACATTTCTGCAGATCTGGGGTTGGTCATTTGAAGCTGGGAGTATGATGCAATTTTCACTTTTAAAACAATGTGTTATTAAGTGTGGAATGTTTGTGTGGGTCCATCTAGAACAATTCATTACAACATTTTCTCTATATAACATAGATTCATTAATTAACTAATTTTTCCAAACAGGCAACATAATTTCTTGCATTTTTTACAGTCCTAATTTTCCTAAACTGACACAATTTCCTCAACAGTCCTCACGGCAGCAATAAAAAGGTACACTTTTTGTTTTTTACTTACTTGAGCATTGGTCAGAATTTTGTCCATCCTGCACAGCTACTGTTCCTTCAAATGTTTCTTTTGTATCATTTCCTTGCTCATCAGGATCATCCATGGATTCTTCACTCCCTTGATAATCCATTAGTTTGCTTTTCGGAACCAAAATCGTAGGCAGTAAAAGTTCATCTTTCTCCGCAACATTTCGGTCTAAAGATACTTCACTCAATTGTTTAGGCTGATGCTGTTGTGAAGGTACTACTGATAATTCCACGTTTCCATGAGAATCACTACAACCTTTAAAAAAAACAAAAGACCACGATTATTTGAAAGCAAGCAGGCTCATGCAAATATGACATGCTTGACAGACACTACCATTTCCAAAAGGAAAACTAGGCTTATATTTTTAAAACAACTCTGTAAATGTGAATTTAACATTTACAATATATATCATATTTTCCCAAGTCAAAAATGATGTTATCTTTGTCATGAATGTTTGACATCTTCACATTAATCATAAGGCAGTTTACACATTTTTCTAAAATTGACTGAGGTAATTTCAGACTAAAAGTTTTAAAAAATCTGAATAACGTAACCAATATAAAACTTAGATTATTTACAGTTTACAATCCTTACATTCTGCACATAATATTACAGTGAGGTCATATGGGGTAAAAGTTCCCTTCTTAGAGGGCTTGCACACTCCCTCTCATGTTGCAGGGATGCTATATTTAGATCTTATTGAGTCTTGCACATCATAACAACAGCACTATCTCCATCATGATGCATGTATGAAAAAGCTTTTTTATTTAAGCAACAATACATCACATGGGAAGTTTGGATATTATAATGTAAGTGATATTTATGTAACATGAATTTTTTACATGTGGTTTCAGCAAGTAATCTAACTACCCAGACAATTTGTTTCTTATGTACCCATATCAAACCGTTACTTTTGTTTACACAACTGTCAACTGTCAACTTACTGTTGAACAATAGTGTAAGTCTGTTCAGAAGATCAAAGAAGAAAATTTTACAAAAAACAATGTTATGTCTTCATAGAACAAATCAGCTAGATTAAAATGAAAGTTACGTTATTTTATGAGAATGTCAGATTAACATTGTCATAGAGCATTTTTACTTACTGATCTTCAGTATTGGGTTCAATGCTAGTATGCTCGATTTTCATACGACACAACCCTGAGTTCCCATTTCCAGATGGGGTAAAAATTAACTTGATGTCTTTCACTATTACGTCCCTGTTCATAAAGCTGTGTGAAAATGTGAGTGCTTCTCTCAGGTAGAGAATGGTAAATAGACTAATAGAGGTCTCCAAAGTCCATAGCCATATGTTAGGGATGCCATGCCAGACCCTAGTCTCTCAAGGCTGTAGTGCTAGAGAACATATGAAGCAGTTGAAGCAGAAGTATTGGCAACTTTTTTTCTAAAAGAAATGTTGTCGGATTACACAATTTTATTTGTCACGTGAAAGAAATGCTGTACTAATGGTGTTGGCAACAACAGTTGGTCTGTTACCACAGAAAGCAATGTGAAATCAGTTATCAGACTGCCTCCATGCGGTGAGGTGAATGTAACCCATTTCCAGCAGCGCTCATACACCATTTTCCATGAGAGAAATGCCTGAGAATGCTACAGAGAATTAGTCTCTTGGGAATAATGCCCTTCCATAACGGACAGTCACAAGATGCGCAGGACAGTTTCTGCAGGGAGGAAAAGAAACCAGCAATAAGCAACGCATGAAACAACCCTTGAACGTGCAGACCATTGTTGCACATGTGGTAATCTAGCATCTGCAAAATCAGACCTTTAGAATGGGTAAGTAATGCTTTTGGAATGTCTTGAACTCATGTGTGCTAAAACACTTTGAATAATGAAACCAGTATTGTCATTTTAAATATGAGAAACATAATTTTGGGGTGTTGTTAAATGTCCATGAACTTATTTCATACCTTGCCCTCTCATGTGTAACCAACCCTCATATACACATACTAATTCCACTTGACTCCCATAAGATTTAAACATTAAATTCTATTAGAAGTTATTTGTGTCTATGTTAGAACACCTAGGTTTTCCGTCATACACTTTAAACAACCCATGAGAATAATTTTCACTACAAACCTAGTGTACTCAATGAATTAAAACAGCAAAAATGTTTACTATCATCACAAAGCATAATAATTAATCCTCCAATAGTTTATTAAATTATTAAATAAGCCATATATTAAGTTATGCCATATTTTAAGAACACTTATATAATTTTATTTTCTATTACCATGCTGTAGAATATAAGAGAAAATAACTTTTTGTCTAGAGTAAGCAGGAAAGCAGAAAAATGAAAATGTTGAAACGAAAACTTTTGTACATTGATAATAGCAGTAACACCATCTTTGAAAATTGTTACAACAACAAACATTTTCAATGCATTTTTTGTGAACATTCAAATAAGTCATATGCCTAGGTTTGTTTGGTTTTGATGACAACACTGAAAATAATTTCAGTTCAGACCGAAATAGCTGCTTATATTTCTTATTTTTCTCACAAATAATAAGACTGTATATATCCCAGAAAGTAATACTGTGGACATTCAGATATTTCATGGGATAAGTCAATGACTCTGAAAAAAATCTCTCGATGTTCACAGTATTAATTTCTGGACACAGTATTACTTCCTGGGATTTGAAGTTTATTACTAACTTTAAAAACTTCTGGTCATGAATAAAAAAAAATCTAATTCAGCATCTGTGCCTTCAGGAGATGATTAGCTTGTGAAACACAGTGATTCGTTTGCTAATCAACTACAAAGTAATTGATAAATCAGCAATGAATTTTACAAGACCAGAAAATTACACAAAAGTAAAGCAAAGCACACATTTTTTTGAGTAGGTACAAAAAATTCAAGGAGATATATTGCAAAAATGTTAAGTGTTTATAAACACAAAACAAACAGAACAGGAATAACATTCACTGGGTTCAAATGACACGTCAAGGCTTTTTGAGTTAATTCAATTATTTTACATGAAACAAGTTTTAGAAGATTGAATGTTGTTAAACACACTGTAGAATATAGAAAATGTTAAAAAGTCACACAATAACAAACTCATGTATAGTAACAAATTAATTAAAAACAGTGAAATAGGGGTTAGAAGTCAAAATTATGCAATTGAGCGTTCTCATGTCAAATACATTTTTAAGAAATTGTAAAAGCTACAAGCATTATAAATTTAAGTATTCATTCAATTCATGCTCACCAAATACAGAAGTTCCTTCATTAATTTCACACATAAAATTTCCAAAGACTGATTTTTCACTTTTAATATTATCCAATACCATGTTTCTTGTTCCCACAAATCCTTCAAACAGAGATTCACATTTCACCGTCATTTCTGCCTTTTCACATCCCTGAGCTTTCTGATATTCTTGTGGACACTGCACTTCCTCACAAGTAGCATCATATCCTTCAAGAAGAACTGAAGTCTTTGTGTGCATAGTATCTGGGTGGCCATCCAAAAGGTGGAGAGCCTGCTGAGAATAAATTTCAGAATTGTAATCGGGGTTTACACTAAAGCTTTCAACTTCACAGGTGTCTTGATTACCCCTAAATGGACCTCTTGTATCATTTTCAATACGACTGCTGTATAGATTCTTATTCTTCTGAAAGAAGAACACACATTATTAAAAAAATGAAATATTTCAAGTAAAAAAATTCGAAATGTACCACTGGGTTACATACATAATCCTTAAGAAAATCATTTAAGCCCTTGATCTGCAGGGACTGAGCAAGGGTCATAAATGCTTTCAGGTCCCCTTCTGAAATTTGGATCTCCCCTCGATACACAAAATCAATCACTGCCTTCAGTGTTTCAAATGATTCATCTATGATGATGATATGTGGATGGTCCTCTGTTTCCTCGTGAAACAGCATCTATATTCAGCAATACAGAAGGACAACAGGGTAAAAGATTAAAATTTCTTCATCTTTTACTTCACATAATACAGTGCACAGACACATGATGACAGAGATCTGAACCACTTCATGGCACTACGAATGCATCTCCATCTTAGTTGGAATCCTTTTTGATATTTGAAAACTAGCTGAAGTACCAGGCAGTCTGTCACTTCCTCTATACTAATCAAGGCAAAGCCTGGAACTTTACCTATTAGATAGAGAAAGGAAATAATTATTTTATTTTGTATGTGAGTTGTGTATTATCTCAGTCATCTAATAAATACAAAAGGAATTAATATTCTCTGTGGTGTAAAATAGAAGTACAGTAAGATCTCCATATATCGACCTTCTATTTATCGAAAGGCTCAATAAATCGAATTTTTTCTTGAGCCCTTGAAAGAGCTGTCTAAAAACATTATTTTTGCTGTTATTTCTATATATAGAAATAATTTGCTAACTTGACTATTATTTTTTTAAAAGAAATAAACATTTCTGTAATATTATAATACTTCTTGAAGCCACAACAGTTTCCAACTTGCAAAAATATTTGACCATGCCAGGATTGTTCCAGTAGGTTTAGCAAACCATCCACAAACTTTGCAAAGCTTAAAAAAGAAGATAAAAATTTGCAACTTTCGAAAATTCAAGAAAGAACTTATTGAAAATCTTATATTTGTAGGCTTCCGCGGCCGGAGTCATTTGATTCTTGGTTGTCCGGGATGAGCTGCGTCTCAGTCGATCGAGCTGACGTTTTGGCCATCGTGATGTGGCCTTCTGACCTCCGACCTCCATGGGTTGTTGTTGTTGTTGTTGTTGTTGGCCTGACCCTTTGGAGCGTTTCTTCGAACTTCGACTTCTTGTTCTCGTCCAGGGCTTTTTGACTCCTCTCCCCCGCACGAGGTCGAGGATTGGAAGTCAGATTTCATGGGAAATTTTCTTTTGGTAGGTAGGTTTTTTATTAGGGTGTTTCTGGGCGGGGGGATGGATAGGGATCGTGATAGCTTGGGGCGGGGAGGGGATGGCCCTTTTCGGATAGGGATTGGGAGGGAGAAGTTGGTAGTTGCTTTTTTCGATGGTAGGAGTAAATATTTTTTTTTATTTTGTTTATCGTTTTTTGGTCATTTTATCGTTGTGAAGTGTCTGTCTTATTAATGAATTGTTGGTCGTTTTGTTTTATGTCTTTGTTTGTCTTCCTGAATTTTGTAGCCTGAATAGCCGTGCCGCCTTCAGGGGATGTGATTCTATCGGAGGGAGTAGTGATGTAGTTTGGAATTTTAAAAAGTCGGTCGGGTGTCAGCCGTGCCTCCTGTAGTAAGAGAATACCAACGGAATAGTATTTTAGAAATTGGTTTAGATTGGGTATTTTCTGATTGAGACCGCCTATTGGGTTCCATGGCGACGGTGAAGATGCAGAGAGAGGGTGCCATTTTAATTAAGAATTTCCATGATTTTGAGGTCAGCGACAATGAGTTTTGTGACTAAGCCTCTAAACCTTTTAGTAATTTCTATGAGTGGTTTAATGTTGGCAATGTTTTTCTTGACAGATGGATTTTGGAGATGGGAAATTGTTTCTTTTGTCTTAGGCTGTGGATTTTAGAGAGTAGGTTTCTGTGTTGGATTGGAGTGGGTTGGAGGCTGCGTTGTTTTGGTTTTGCACGCTGGCCTTTCGGCAGCAGTATAGCACTGAAGAAGGCCACAACACGATGGCGGAAATGCCAGTTCGATCGACTGAGACGCGCGACTTGTCCCGGATAGCCAAGAATCACATAGGAAATCTTGTTTATATAACTTTTAAAAGTTGTCACCATTTCATTCAAAATTAGAAGAGAATTGGAACCACAGTCAGCCATGTTATGCAATAGATTTTTCGATATCAAGCATTCACAAAATGTGGATTATGATTACACATGATAGAGGAAGCGGTATTTAATTATATATATGAACAAGAATAAGCTCCTAGAATGGCTCCTGGTCGGATACTAGCTTTCCATGGTGTGATCCCTTTTTTGGTTCCCACATGGAGCAAAACATACAGAGGTAGCATTTTTTTTAAAATTATCTCATTTTCTGTAGCTGTGCAATGGTGAAGGCAGGTGAAGTTTGGTAGTTTTGGTGAAGGGAAGGTATCATCTGCGCCACATGTCTCTCTTACCTCACAAGTCTGGGCTCCTTAGGCCCAGACACAGGGGACATCGTTATACACACAAGAACTATCTACTCTTTAAGAATTAGGGGCATACAACACATTTTCTGACAAAAAAAGTAGTCTTTTTGGCTGCAACACTACATAACTTTCTGTATGCTACATAAGTAGTAAGTAGTAATATAGTAAGTAATGAGGAAATAAAAAGACAAATACTTGAAGATATTTAACAGCTTAAGACACAAATACAGATTACCTGCAGCATTTCTTACAAACTAGAACTTGAAAGAAGTTTTGAACACACCAAACAGCAGAACATAACAGAAATAGACAATTTTAGAGAACAACTACACCAATTCAAAATAAAAATGTTTTCGTTCAATTTTATACATGCTCAAATATATTCAAAAGTAATTCTGATGATGAATGGGGATTAATAAATAATTCCTTATACACAACTGGTATTTATTTAACAAAAGTCCAAAAGAAACAATTAAATCAACAAATAAATTTAAAAAAGATATGTACAGTATTTTTCACATACCAGTTCCTGATGAAACTTCTTAATATCACTGCCTCCTGGAATTATTTCACGCATGTCATGAAAGTTATACTGAGACAATGAAGAAGCTTAATTTGTAAATAATTTGGAAGTCGATTCATTGCAAATATCGACTAGCTGTCATTGAATGCAGTTTTCTAGCTGTCATTGAAGTTCGTGCTTTCACATTTCTTACCTCTCTGGTGAGATTGAAATCCATGAATGTGTTGAATATATGTTTGTTTTCTACGCGGTACTTGAAGAATAAATTGTGAAGAATTTTTGAAATCAAGTTCCACATTTTTCTCACCATGTATTCTTTATACTCCTACTCGTTTCTCATATTCATAGCCCAATTTTTTTACATATTTGAAATCTCTTCATTTGATGTTTGTGACAAAAGTGTTATTTCTTTCACATCAAAACTGCTGGAATTGTTTTCAAAGTTTTTCTCAATTTTTCCCCCTTTCTTTCTATTTTTGGGCACATTTAGCTATATTTGGACACAATTTGCATTTTTGGTTTGTTTTTTAAATCTATTTCTGCACTGAAGTTTCACTGCACATATATGTAAGGAAGAAGAAGCAAGAAAGTGAGATGAAAAATGATGATGGTATAATAGCTGCACAAAATATCTAAATATAACTAGTGGTGCTAAAAAAGAATTTACTTTTTCTTATTATACTTACTTTCTCTTATCTTACTATTCTTATTATTGGTAATGGTTATGTCATGTATTACACCGTCTAATGTAATAACAGTCAAATGATTTCACTCAAAATTTTGCAAAAACTACTGGTATTTTGAAAAACGTGTACCTCACATGATTTAAAGAGCTAATATTGAGGAACAGATTGCATTGAGAAATAAATCTCTAGCTTTAATTTTGAAGCAACAGACAGGTGTTACAAATTTAATTTTTCCCTATTTTTCAAAATTTCTGAGGTTTTCTTGAAAATCAGACCATGATAGATGACCAAAAACTTTTGAGCTGATTGTGAAGTTCTTTTTTTTAAATTGTCATGATGTGTCTCAAAATTATACAAAAAATACTATTTTGAAAGAAAGGGAAAAATAGTAAACTTTTTTTAAAGTTTTAAATTTGAAAACCAGTTTTCATCAAGAAAAAAATTCCTATTTTCAATAAAGTAGTTGAAGAAAGAGATTGTACAAAATTATAATCTACACAGATTTCTAAATTTCATAGATTTGAATGAAAAGGTATGCACAATTTATATATGCATACCTTTTTTCAAGTAAAAAATACAAAGAAATAGTTGAAACAATTTTTGAGAAAATTTAAGAAAGTCCTATGTTAAGGTAAAGTTAAATTACCTCCAAAACATTAAAAAATTCAATTCAAATTCAAGGCCTCATTCTGATAATTCATCAACCAGACCGGTCATGAAATATCAATTTCATTGAAAATACTATGGAAGATGTAGGTGCCAGAGATGTTCAAACGGGTGAACAGACATTTGGGAGAAAAAGTAAATAAATAAATACTAAATAAATAAAATAAACAACAATTTATCTGTATCAGGGACTCCCAAAACATCTAATTCTGTTGAAATCTCTAAACAATTTTTTGCAGCATTACATTGCATTATTAGAAGGCAGGAATTTATAAACACAAAGTTACTCAATTGACATTAGAAAAAGAAAAGCACAAATTCATCAAATGGCATTTAGTGAAATGAAATTTTTCTAACAACATAACATTAGAGAGCTTCCTTACAAATCAATCCAAGGTATAGCAAACAAAATTATGACTGAAATGCCATTATAAAATGATCACAAATAGGTTATGTAAATTAACAGGTATTAATGGAAAAAAAGGTAATGAAGATTAATGTCTGAAGAGGTAGAATAAACAATGTGAAATAGAAATTTAAAAGAAGACAAAATAATATTGGTGAAATGAGGATATTAGAAGGTAACAAACTCATATTCAATATTATGCAATATTTTATACCTCAGTGACTTATCTCTAAATACTTAAATTAAATGAAAACTGATTGATAAAGTTAACTAGTAAAGCATACTAAATTGATTAATCTTAACACATCCTCTACTTTTTTCACTAAATAGGAAATCAACAGTAAAGCCTCACTTTTCAAATATGAATATGATATTGTGGATTCAATTTCATTTAAAGATGTTTCCAAACAATGAATTATTAGTGAGGGATATATTTATTTAAAAGAGCTTGAGCAAAACATCATAAATTCTGATGTTACCAACTTTGACACCTTTCCTATATTTTAACTAAAACCAGTCAAAATTAAGAACTAAAATGCTCACATTCAATTCATAAGAAAACATTTTTCCTCTCAGTGTGACCTGTTTTGTTTCCATATTTAGTAACAATATATGTAAAATCTAAAGTTTGGTTACCTCCCATGAAATACTTTCAAGAAAACATAACGAACAAAATAGAAAAATGGGACAGCATCAACACAATCACACACACACACGTTAAACTACTCACAAAAGAAGTTTCTCAAGCGTAACATTATATTGTGTGTGTCAAACTGTAGATTGATTATATATAGTTTGGCCCACAATTTATGAGTGTCTGGAGATGAAACGTCAAACTTTGGAAATATGCTCCTAAGATGATTTTCAACATATTTTCTCTAATAAACTACTGGGATATTGAGGAATGATTGAACAGCAATTAGCACTCAAAAGTTGGTTTGAAAAAATGATTTCTAAACAAAAATTTGCATTGAAGAAGAATAGAAACCCTCCAAAAACTTATAAATCATTTATTGCTTACACAAGAAATTCACATCTGTACAGAAACAAAAATTAACACAAACTAGCACAAATAAAAAAGCACCAAAATTACACAATATTACTACTTTTTTATTTCTGTGTTAATTTTTCTTTCTGAACACATATTAATTTCTTTTGTACATAATAAACAATTTACATGATTTTGGAGTGTTTCTAGGCTCCTGAATGCAAATTTTTGCCTAGAAATAATTTTTTCAAACCAACTTCCGAGTGCTTATTGCGGCTTAACCATTTGGAATATCCCAGTAGTTTATTAGAGAAAATATGTTTAAAATTGTCTTCAAAGCATAATTGCAAAGCTTCCTCCCTGGATATCCTGCATAACAAGATTTCACATGTTCTCTTAAACTTTAGACAATATAGCATCAGTAAGTGATAAAGTGATCAGAAAGGTTAATTTCCCTTATAATAAAATTAAACTTACATTAAAGTAAGGACTGCATGCACATAAAACCAGTCGATGTGCTTTTATGCTCTGACCCTCAGCAGATAGAGTGCAATCCACCAAATAATTGTTCTCCAATAAACTACTATATACAGTGGCAAGTTCACTGCTGTGATCTTTCCAAAATATGGAAACAACTGACTTTGCCATGTTCAAATAGCCCTGAAACAATTCAAAAACAATTTAATGCAGTTATTATTAGTTTGTTTATGGAACGATTTATACGATTATGCTACAACACAAATCATCATATATTATAATTAGTCCTTTATTTGGTTTTACTAGACAAGCTATTCTTTGTTTGTAAAAAGACAACACTTTACACATGTTTTGGGATCCTCCTTTTCTTTTCATCATGTGTCATTTCTTCACTTGTTCTGTAACTGTCCAATAATATGCACTGTTATACTTTATTCCACTCTACTTCATGCCAAGGCCTGTCTTTGCTCTTCGTCGACTTGAGCATTTTTATTGGTAACTGCGGTTCCTTTTTCATACTGTCTACAAACATCAAAGAACCACCATTGACATCGAAACATACATATTTATCATAGAATATTCTACTGCATCCAATGACACTTGCCACATTGCTAGGCTTGCATCAAAGAAGGCAGGAGCTATTTTATTAAGTTGGCACATACATCTGACTTTCTATATAATGGAGCTCTATTCCTAAAAATTTAGTGTTTTAAATTTGTATCAATTTACTTTCAAGATCTACACACATGACCAAATTTACATATGTTATGTCCCACATCTTATTTTATGCATTTCTCCAGCTCACAAAGTGTTTGAAATCAACCTCGGCAATGTTTTAGTTTTTGGAAATGTATTACTTTATTAACAACCAACAGATTTCCACCGAATGTTCACCACTTATGATTACATATCCAATTCACGTTAAAACATCACAACATACTGCTTTTACTTTACAGACCTTAAATACTTTTGTTAATTTCAGCTTTATGTCTGATGATTTGTTGAATGTTTTGAATAGAACCAAGAAATAACAATTTTTTCAACTATCAATATTACCATTATGACTATTAATCTACTAATAACCACATTAGATTCGCTCTTGAAAATAACCTTTTAGTGTTTCTTCGGTTTCCCTTCTTTGTTGTGTTGAATTTATTTTTAAATAACTTCAAGTGTTCTAAGCATCTGTTTTTGCATAACACAATGTAGGGTGTCTGTGATCTACCATCTCATTTTAAATGGTATTTAATGTTGTTCCCATTAAAAGAAACCAGGGCATGATTTTGCCAAACAAAGGGGTAATAATTCCTTTAAACACAGTTTTGAGTCTATTGTAAATGTTCAACAATAGTTTGGATTTTGAGTTCTTCCTTGTAATATTTTTGCTTTAGTTCCTCAAACATATGTCTGATCTAATCTACAATAGCAGGGTGGCATATTGTGCTGATGTTTGTTGCTTTTTATTGTAACTTTTGCATAATTAAATTTGCACTAGCTCTCGTTTATACATAATCTGTGCTGTGGATTTTCAAACAAGGTGCAGCATGAAAAAACAATGCTCAACCAAACCTTCTTAAGTCTTCTGCCTGAAAGGTTTCTTTGAACTTCCATTCAATTATGCCTTATTTTACGTAGAAGGATGCAATAAAGATTGCGGTCTTCTCAATCGAGCACCCATTTGTTATTGCAAATATCCAAAGTTCTCATTTCAGTTTCATTGTTATATGGTTTACTTTCTAAAACTTACTTTATATCCTTATTACCTCTATCTCTTTAATGTATATGGTTGTATGAGAGGTTGCTGATGATAGTTTTAGTATTTACAATGCTATTTGCTTCCTATTGGCTGATCATCACTTTTTCAAATTTAATGTAAAAAAATACATACATAATGTATTGATTTTTATGGATTTTAAAGATTATTTGCGAAACAAAAGATATTAAATAATTTCTAGACTAAACTGTAACATTAATATTCTTTAATTTCTTACTTTTACACTGAAGTTTTTTTATGTACTGTATATTGTATGTTTTAACCTTGTGAAAAATGTGAGCTGTGTAATTAAAAGTGTGATCAATACCATCTAGGAAAGAGTTCAAAAAATTAAAAATTGTTTATTTATTTTTCAAGGATAAAGGAAATTAATTTACTACTTCAAGCAAAGAGTGAAAATTAATATTATCTGTATTACCGTTTTTATTGTTAAAAAGAACAGGATACATCCAATGTCTTTCCTTAAACACATAGATCAAACCTTGATTCAATTGTTTATACAGCTCAGGTATTCATGCCATCTTCATCAACATCTGCACTAGGATTCCTTAAATTTTCTATCACTGTGTTCACTATATTTACATTTTATTGCTCTAAACAATTATTATAGATACTACACTTTGGCCCAAATTTATACCAATTTCAGACTATTTGCAAACCCATTTCTACTGATCTTTTCTTACTGCTTACATTAACACGCACGCACGTTCTCACACAGTTACAATTCTTCTTAGCGAAAGCTTATGTACAAAATTTCCAAATTCTATCTTCCATTATCGTAAAAATCATGTTTCACACATTGAGTAGCTTCAAGTGAGGTTACGAACGTTATGAGCTTGTGAGAAGACTTACTCGATTGTAAATTCACTCCTCGTCTTAAAGTCGCTTTCCTTCAATCTAGGCGCTCTCGAGAAAGAAAACAAACATAACACAATAATACACACAAAAACTCAGTTCAACATATTTTGTAAACAAACATAGTAATAACAAGGCAAGCCATAGAGTAACTTCGGCAACTTATACAGCGATTTTTATAACTATGCGCTTTAAGGCCTACCGGTAGATTATCTCAAGGAACGTTCACTCGCGTTCTTATTTTTTGGCGCGTGAGAGCCCATCTTTACAATGGAATATCTCATGGAATAGGCATATATACTTTCCCAACAAGCGTTCCTAGTGGAGGAGATCAGACTGCAATTCCTTCGACCCTCGTGAAGATATACCCTCACACCTTAGTGTGAAATCAGCGGAATCAATCTTACAAAGCCTGAACACGAAAAGAGAGGAAATATGGCCAGTTATAGTACTGGATGCCCGCAGGCTACGAGATGCGTCGTCGCAGTGCATGGTTTTCACCATCTGTTATGCAAACTGAAAACTTTTCCACGATCCCAAGAAAACCTGCGTGTGCGAAAGCGTCTGTGATCGACACCAAATCCTGCAGTGTTAAGAAAGACGGATGTCAATCAATCAGTATGCACGAATGAATAGTAACTGTGCTACTTTGTGATGGTCTTTAACAGTGATATTTATGTTTTTTATCGTCTTAGTCTCTGTAAAGAGATTGCGCACGTGCGTTTTTCAATGTAATATTTCACGGCATTTTGCGTCTTTCTCGTTCGTGCCAGTAGATGTCGCAGGATCACCAGCACTACTCGATACAGTCGCGATTATGCGACATTTAACGGCGAGAAGAAAGAAGCGAAATGCCGTGAGAAATTGCTTCGTGAAGATATACCCTCACGCGCGAAGAAGGAAGTGTACAAGTGTTTTCATATAAGATATGACTAGAAATCCAACATGGCGGAATTTCGGTACAGCCAACCTCATCGAAATGAAACGGGAAAGTGCCGACGCGGCTTTTTTAAATGTGCATGGTGTCTTTCAAACATGCAGATTTGCTGAAATGATTTATTAAGGTTTTATGACTTATAAATCATAAAAGGCATATGGTTAAATAATAATTTATAATTTACATTAAAATTGTATTTTTTATTATTAAATAATTATAAAGTCAAATAAATGCATTTAAGTACATAAATTAATTATAATTTTAAAAACATTTGAATTTTCAGAATAAATAAAATCTTATTGAAACTGAAGAATAAATTATGTAGTAGAATGTAATTGTATTATAAAACTAGCAAAAATGCTGTATGGGGTTTATTGAATAAAATTAAATGTAAGACTAAAAATAATTTTAATTTTCAAACACACAAGTGTAATAAAACTTTTTGGCATCATTATAATTCTCTCTCTCTCTCTCTCTCTCTCTCCTCTCTCTCTCTCTCTCTCCTTTCTCTCTCTCTCTCTCTCTCTCTCTCTATATATATATATATCATAAATATATTATATATATTATATATATGATATATATCAAGAAATGAACAAATTTAATGATCATTGAATAAATTAGATATATTTGATTGCTAGTTGTTACTGTCTAATAAAATTTATTTTTGCTATGAAAACAATCCCAATAAAATTAAAGACAATTAAGTTTCAAAATTTCTTGAAGCCGTTTCACGATTTGTGAAAATGAAAATATAAAGATAATTTAAAACTTCACTATCTTTAAATTTAAAGGGGGTAATATTCATGATAAAAAATAAGGAATTTGGAAATACATTATAAATATATTTAGTATAAATTAATCAACCCCCTTTTAAAGTATTTCAGATATGTGGTTAACTGCTTTTATATCACTACAAAAGATAATTTACCTGATCTATCAGACATCTTCAGTAGTTATATATCACCATATCAAGTTTGGACATGCAATTGAGATGAATGAGAGTTTAAACTTTTTGAATCTAACCATCACAAGCACTGGTATTGGAAAGCTTTCATTTAACTTTTTGGAACGCTTTCATATTTATCAAACCGTAGCCAAATAGTTTCCCTCCAACACACTAAAGAAAACAAAATTTCCTCTTACTACTCCTGCCCTCAAATAAAACTCTCACAGCATTTGCTCATAAACAATAACCCTGTAACGATATCTCATGAAACTACCTTTCTCAGACTAACAATTCAAGAAAACCTAAAATGGAACACTCACATATCAAATCTCAACAAGAAGCTCAGCAAATCTTGCTTTGCCCTATACACCCTCAGGTCAAGCTCCAACATTGAGACACTTCGAACAGTGTATTTTGCAAATGTGCACTCACACCTAAAATATGGAATAATATTCTGGGGAAATGCCTCTGAAAGCTTCTCATGGAAAACAAAGACACTTTTACTTTAAATTCTGATGTACACAACTACAACACCCGTCAAAAGGATAATCTACACGTTCTCCACCCTGAAACTACACTTTATCAAAAAAGTACCATAATATAGGGCATTACACTTTACAACAAACTAGGCAATGATATCAAAGGCATAAACACAATTCATACATTTAAAAGTAAATTGAAAGTTTCCCTGCTTGACAACATCTTCTACAGTTTAAAGGAATTTTCAAATTACGTTTCCCTTAAAAATATAAATAAATAAGAATTTTCTTGTCCCATTAGACTTTCTGTTTCATGTAAACTGTTTCAAGCTCAAGCAAAGAAAAAATAACTGCATATCGCATCCTGTGAAATAGAAGGAGAATAGAAGAAGCAAAAAACTGGTCAAAACGTGCCTCCTCACCATTTCAAGTTATAAATGTAGAATGTACTATTATTATTAAATTTGATGTAGTTGCAAACATAATTGATATGTATTACTAATGTAATTATTATTATTATTATTATTATTATTATTATAAGTAGTAGCATTAAAATAACATATTGAAATGTTAATTATTAGCAGATAATTTATCTACTGTATAATATCTTAATCTAACTGTAACAAGTATTGCATTTCTAGGCCAAAGACCCCATCTCGATCAGGTTTTGTTCAGTTTCCCTGGTCCTTTGAGCAAATGCTAAGATGGCCCCTTGTTTGCTCCTGAACAGTAATGTAACTTCGCTCTCTCCACCCAAGGCATCATATTGACTCGTCATACACGATTGTAATTGTATATGTGACTCAATAAATATTATTTTTATTAAAATATATTTTCTTTAATTTGAACATGCAGTGCTTGCGTTGCGCGTGGTTCGACTAAGAACCGCTAGATGGAATGAGTGGTAGGATTGTTAGAAGAAATTTAGATACGGATGATTGAAAATTATAGAGATAGATTAGTTTGATAAATTATAGATCATATAGATTGAAAATTTATAAGAAATATATATTATAATTGAAGTAAGTGGTAAAAATAGAGAAGCGGTAGTACTAGGCTTGAATTGTCGTTTCTCTGTTTACAGGGTACAGAAAAATGTTGTAAATAGTTTTTTGTATAATAATGTACATGATAATTGATATAAATGAATAAAACTGCACTCTGTTTAAGGGAAACATATTTTAGCTAAATATTATCCTGCATAAATATCTTATAAAACGTCAATTCAATTCTGCTATATATATAATAATATTGCATCACGGGTCACTGTGATTAACGACCGATGGCAGTCCAAAGAACTTCATAAAGATCAGTAAGATGACGCAGATATGAAACACGTTTTGAAATCGAAAATGGCGGGACGGAGACCAAGTTGGCAAGACTCCTGTTCCTCAGTAGTAGAATCGTACCGGGCCCAGTGGGATTCAATCGTTGAAGAAGGTGTTCTTAAACAAGTTGTGGAATGATGTCTACCGAATTAAAAAGTTGAAGAATGGATAACAACGGGCTGTCTATTCCAATCGGCTGGCCCCGTACTGGGGAAGTAAATGAAAATAACGGAGAAAACACCGCAGGAGTTGAGTCATGAAAAAAGCTGGACATGAGCTTGCCATGAAAAAGTTCACTTCTGACGAGTTTATGTCTCACCATGGTGGAAATGATATAGCGCATTATGGTGTGACAATGGATGTACAACAACTGAGGATCTGTTCATGGTACCTCAGGAATATTCATTAGCACATTATATCGCCCAGGATCTAGAAATGACCAGAGGTGTTGCTGCGATATATTTAAGAGAAAATACAGGGCAATAGAAGAATTAGAGAACCAGCAACCGGATATTGAGAATGATCTGCTTCTCTGCGACGTGAGGATATATGTGAATCACATCAAAGAAAGTCACATGCAGAATATCTGGAAAACTGATTCAATTATGCCAACAAGTACTGCAAGGCATCGTCCAGATGCTTGCCATGCCCAAATTGGGATGTAGTTTTGATGGACTGGGCTAGAGAGTAGTGAGCAGCATGTGGGAAGTAATGTTTCGGAACACTGGGGTAAAATCTTAATCTACAGCTACCACCATGGGATGTCAGCATATCCGAAGAAGACAATATACTGTCAATTCTTCTCCAACCGCAATAGAAGCTACTGCTGCAAGATTTCACTAAACGTACTCCGAGACGGATCGAATTTAAGGAGGGGGCAATGTAACGAATATTGCACCATTTGCCGGGATGCGCGGCGCAGATTGCGTCATTTGCCGGCTCCCCCAGAACTGGACGGTTCCGAGTTATTCGAGAGTCGCGTAGAAATGTGGAGCAAGTGCCGGATGTGTCGAGACGGGCGCCGGCCAGGTATAAATTCGCCGCTGCCGGTGGCTAGGCAGTAAGTCAGTTAGGCAGTAAGCAGTCAGTGAGTATGCAGTCTGAGTCAGACTGAAGTGGAAGTTAAGCTGTTAGGTGTGCCTTGCGGTGAACAGCTGCCTGAAGTCGGAAGCTGAGCTGTAAATTGTGCATGGTGAACGATGTGCCGTGAACAGCAGTGCAGTGGCCCCTGACCAGAGCCGTAAATTGTGGTCTGCGCAGAGAATTGTGGTGTGCGCAGTGAATGTGGTCTACGCACTGGATAGTAGACAGTGCATCGAACTGTTCAATAGTGTAGAAGAAGTGAATAGCGTAAATAGATAATCAGAAGGGAGCAGTGTTATTAAATACTCAGAAGTGCACAGTGTAAATAAATAATCAAGAGAAGTAAGTCGTGTGTAAGGAAAGAACACAAGAACTGATCAACCTATCTGTATATAAATCAATTATTTAAGTGTATCATTGCTTACAAATAAAAATCTTTGTTAAAAATTATCTGTGTGTGTTTTAATTCACCACCAAGAAACGTTACGTATATATATATATATATATATATATATATATATAATACGATATATATATAGATACACACATACACATTTATGTATTGTGGCGTTTGAAGAAAATGATAACCGGAGCACAGGCCAGCTGAATAAATTACTAACGAAACAGCGCTAGCTGTTAGCTACTGCCAGCAGTACGACGGCGGCGATCTTCCAGCTCACGGAAAATCACGGAAGGGTTCGTCGTGACGTCACTCTACATATAAATAGCGGAGCAGATGACGAATTAGCCCCTTGTGTACGAGACGCCGATGCGGTGAGCGAAGGCCGATAGGGCGGAGTCAACATCTTATCATGGAACAGCATTAGTAATGACTTCTTTCTGCACGAAGCGCCGAGGTAAAAGGTCCAGTACGCTCAGGCAGATCGCTAGTAATAAGAAAGGGCACTGTTTGGAATTGCCGCACTTGTGGTGGACTGTATGAAGGATTGGTAATTGAATTGGGTTTAACAGTGCAGCAGATTCGAACCCTTTGTTATAGCTCAAGGAGACTGGCTGATACGGGTTGGAACTCTCATCTCATAAAAACAAGTAGTTGGCACACAGTTCTCCTTTTGTTTATTTCAGAAGGCAAGTCACAGGAGTACAGTATAACAGTTCGATCGTTGTGATCTTGTTGCACCATGCGCACAACAGATGTAAGTCTTTTCGTGAGTTGCACAAGAGCTTCACGTTGGAGTACTAATTAAATAAGATTGTTAATCTGCTTCACAGTCACCAGGTCGACCCGCGTATGTGTTCGAGTCACTGCCGTCCGGTAATTCTCAAGCGATTATGACAATTAACTTCTAAAGATACAAAATGAAGCTACATGCTTCGTAAGGTTCGTTTAAAGTAAATCTTCATCACGGAGATCGAGTAACGTCTGGCTCGA